CTTAGGTTTGCTGCTACAGGGAAGGTATTAATGTATGTTTTTTTATTTAAATGTTTATAGCTCAATGTAATATAAACAAAATTGCCAAATGTGATTAAAATATACCCATACACAAGCAAACAACGGGCTTTGAAAGCAATGTAGCTTGGCAATAATCTTTTTGGCTCCCAATGTTTATTGCGCATAAAAGAATATTTTTCGTGAAAATTCAAATGTTTTTTAGTAAGGGGAGGAAAATCTTTTATGGTATATATATTTTGTCATTGAAATTATGTATTAAAGCTGTATGCGTTAATTTGTAACTTAAGTTTATAAAGTAAGCGGCGGAACACTGATTTTGACAGATACTTATTAAACTTAAGAATAATATCCTCAGTAGATGAAATCCATGTACTTATCTTACATTGAATTTGAACAGATTCAACACCGAGAGCTAATTAAATTACAACAATTTCGTACCATCTTCAGTTAAAAAATAAAAGTGGTGCTATCACAGATGTAATATCTGTAGAGTTTATGCTGAATGTTTGAACTTTAATATTGTATAATCATTTATGAAAACTACCATGAAATTTATGAAAAGAATATCAAACTATAAAAGTTCTGTCAAAATAAGATTACGAGAGCGAAGAATTCTTGTATTATTGTAGTACGGTATTTTTACTACTAAACACAAATATTTGTGGTTTCAATTTATTTTAAAACTTTAAAATAGAAGAACGTTAGCCACGAATACATTTACATGAGATATAGCATTATTTATTTAGGATCATCCTAAATGTTACTTGATTGTAGTATACCTATATGGTCAGAACTAAATATCAGAATCTCTTCCATTCCTTACATATAATAGTTCTTAACAGCTGAGCACATCCTCTCGTCAGCTGATGTGTTTTCTATGTCCCGCCACGTATTAAAGGCTTCAGCTAACCCACTTTATCAATACGCCATCAATCTGTTCTCATCCATTAACGTCACAACGACAAAACTCTAAATAGTCACTGTCGAAATACGAAATGGGCGTTCAAGCGTTATTAATTGCTTAAAGACACTCCTAATTGTGCACAATCAGCAACAAATTGATTTATTTCATTTTTAAGATTTTGCCACCAATCTTTGTATTTTCAATTACTAACATCAAATGTCGAAATACAATTTGCCTGTAATCTAGAATTTCATTTCAGTAGGTTTTTTGTCCTAGGACGCTAGGTACAACTCTGGGATTGTTTTTCACAATACTTCCGGCTAGACCTAGAGGTTGTAGCATTATCACTTGGATAAAATCCATTGGTAATTTGGCGGGATTGGACCCGAGGGCCATAGTCCCGCGCTCTAACCACTAGACCAGCTCACTCTCCCACACTACAGTAGGTTAAGCTGATATCTTTTACCTTTTACCTAGGTCCTCTTCTCCATAGTCGTTGAGACCAGGGAATCGTCAAAATTCTTGTTTTTTTCTGTTTCTTTCTTCTTTGGGTACTGTTATGTATTGTTGTAGGGTGTGTGGTCTTCGAAATATTCATTTAGACTATAGTAAGGTTTGTTGATTAAGTATTGTTTCAGTTTTTTTATGAAAAGAGTGTTTGAATCTATTGATTTTAGGTTGTTTGGCAATGTGTTAAATATTTTAGTTTCTATTATTTTTGGATTTTTGCTAGTTTTAGTGAGTCTGTGTGGTTGTAGATTGTAGTTTGTCTGTAAATTTCTGAGGTTGTAGTTATGTCAATTGTTTCTGGTTTGGGGGGGGTCATTTTTTAGGAATTTCATTATTTCTAGGATGTACAAGGAGGGTAAAGTTAGGATTTGGTTAGTTGTGAAAAAAGGTTTGCAGTGTTCCCTATATTGCAGTTGTTCAATTGATCTCACAGCTCTTTTTTGAAGTATTAGTAGCTTTTGTTGTATGTAGCTACAAAAGCTACTAATACTGTAAAAATACAATACAGTATAAGTGTGGTATAAGTGTGATTTAGTGAAAATAACTAAATTCCGCCTGAGAAATTTTGGTTTAATTTTCCTGTTACAAATAACGTATAAATGGGGACGACTCGTGGTTATCAATTATCTCTATGGAGTAATGTGACTTTTGAATCGTAACCTAACCTAACCTAACAATGAGAATTTTTTAACCAGACGACAGTTGGATCACCTATAGACAATTAGATTTAACAATATTATTCAGTAAGTGATCTTGTGCCATTAGGCATCATGAAATAAAAAAAACTTGTTCAGGGAAGACAAATCAATAAAAAGTCTACGCAGAAAACAAAAAATTAAGATATAAAATGGTTTAGGTTACCTTTTGCGTCGAACGATCCTTGATGTAGTAAGTGATAACTACAGCTGTTTCATGCCGCTGGGGCACATCTTCAGGTTGTAGAGCGTCAAGATAAAATAGCTGTCATCCGTGGACGATTTTGTCAAAATAAATATTGCACAAAAACACGAATAAGAAAACATTTAAATACACGAATTTAACAAACTTTGCCAAGTGACAAACTGACAAACACGCGAGATAGGCGCCGGTGAATGTTGTACTATTGAAAAAAAACTAAGCTATTTATGCAATAGTACTGTTGAGCCCAAAAAGTAACAACAAAGATTTGAAAACTTCAACAGTCCTTCGAATGTTTTTCCCAGTACCAACAGTCGTTCGAACGTTTTCCCAGTATACAGTCGTCATAATTTTAGCTGGGCTCATACGTCGTAAACTATCATAGGCTTACGCTTATGATTTACACGTTTTATTTTATAGCCTCATAAACCGTTATCCCGAGTTTTACGACTTTGGAAATGCTCAACCCAATGTGTGCATGAACGTCGATTTTGAGCTTTTTATAGAACTTGTTTTATACATAATGTGATTTGCAGGTTTCAGAGACCAAACAACGTATTCAACTATAGTTAAGGAAAATTATTAAAAACACAAAATGTGATTAATACCCTCACGGCAGCAAACCTGCCAGATAAGCGAATTTCCATTTGTCTTAATCGATTTTCAATTAAATCTATTTAAATAACATTAGGTTTAACGTGTACATGGGATTGCTGCTACAAGGAAACTAATATAGTGTGTTTTTAGTAAAATATACTAAAGCTTTAGCTTAGTATAAAATAATAATAAATTTCCCAAGTTTGATCAAAATGTATCTATAAACTAGCAAACTACAACATTTTACAGCATTCTCCATAAAAATACCATGGGAATTTTAAATTTAAATTTGTTTGAATTTTACCAATAAGCGTACAAAAACACTTTATATACAAAATTATTTGTTTTTCAAGCTCTTTAAACAAGTCTAGAGATAAATAAGAAAATGTTTCGTTTTGATGGTCAAAAATGAGAAAACCCCATTTTTACCCCATAAACCCCCCCGTAAAACCCCGTTCCCATGGTCCGATCATGCTGGGTTGCAAACTCATTCAAGTTTATCGTGCCTTACACCTTTAAACCAAATTTCATCAAAATCGTACAAAATTTACTCAAGTTATCGCGTTCACGGACACACGCACACATACATACCTAACATACATATATAACAATTTTAACTAATGGTGTATTTGGCCTCTAGGAACATTAAAATTGAACAACTGAATCAGCCCCACAGATTCAGTGATTCAGTGGGAGATTTCAGTGAGTGAGTGATTCAGTGGGTTGTCAGTTGCCTAGGTCTTACTGTGCCACCTACGGTAATAGCTACTTCCCTATAGGGGAATTCGCTAAAATCTAATGAAATACAAATCTGGTCATTGGTTTCTTATACATCAGTGATTCTATTGTTACAAAGCATTATATTTAGTTATCCAACCGAATTTGGAACTAATTCATTTGGGTCGTGGAGGCCTACTAAACAATTAAATACATGTTTTCACCATATAAATTTATTGACAGAGATTCAGCATCACAGGACATGATGTGATTTGTCTTCAGTTTTCTCTGCTCACATTGTGATTGTCATTTACAGTGTCCACAATGTATATTTATTTTGCTTCTTCATGTATATAATATTTTGTATTGAGTATTTATTCTGTCGTTATAATTAGTATGATATGATGTCTCTTGTAATGTTAGTCTGTAGCTATTTATTCTGCTTGTTCATGCATGTACAATGTATGTATGTTGTATGCATGTACTCTTTGTAATGAGTCGGATCATTCAATGCAATATGAAACCTTTTCTAGTCTTTTGTATGTATATTGTGCCATGAGTAATTGCAATTCTTGTATTTATTTTTGCAAACTATCTTGTTTTGATATGTATTGATAAATAGCATTTGCCGTAGGAATAAATAAATAAATAAATGTCCAAAACTTACGAAGGAGCTGCATGCCACCTACTATTGTTGGGTTTTAAGTAGTTATTTCTTGTGATAAATGTTTCCCAAGACGTTGCCCATGTTGATTTCGAACTCTTCCGAACTATTTATTTTTTATTTTAGTTTGATATTGAATAATTTCGAAATAAACCGAATTCACCAGTTACTTAAGTAATTAAATTACCTTAATACAATACAACGTATAAAAAATTGAACTAATTGTTTCGTGTTTATGATACATGCTAATTAGTAGAGAACCGTTTAATTATGTAAAGAAATATGTTTTGCAGTAATTATCTGAAGATGGTGAAATAGAGGGACGAAATTCGAGTACTATGACTGAAAATATTGTCACATGGCATATTATTGTGTATTACTCTTTTACTCATTGCATTTTCGCTGATTCAGAAAAACAACACCAATACACAACCATTCAATCCATTAAACTGAACCACAAAACAATTAAACTGAAGTAGACTCAAGAAGAATATATTGTATTAGTACCGTATTAAAGTTACATCTTTGTCCTACTACCACGTCGACACAATGAGGAATATGTCACAAGGCCACGTACTCAACTATAGGTAATGAAGAAGACATGTTTATGTAGTTATGCAAATTATTTGCTAAGACTTCAGCTGCTCATTAGGCGACAACTTTGTTAAGATGTTTAATGCTAATGTAAGAACAGTGAAGGCTTGTTCTTGAGTTGATTCAAAGTATCATTGGATATCAATTTTATTTGTTGAAGTTTCAAAGTGATAAAGTATTATTTTAATTTACAAATTCCTGTGACGTAAACAAACTTAAATTACACCGGAATTCGCTTGATTCTATATACTATTGTATAATCATTTACCTGAAGAACAATGAAGAAAATTCTGGTTCTTGTGTGTTTGATCTATTTTAGTAAAGGTAAGGTAGCATATATGCCAATGTTAATTATTGTCAGTCAAACCCTAAGGGAATTTTCAAAAAGTTTTATGCATGTTTAGTTTTGAGATATACAGAGATTGCATTTTTCTATTTTTTGTAACACTCGATTAATTCCACGTTTAAAATGTGGTTTAACATAGAAAGGGTCCAATTTATTCTGGCCACGAAACCAATACAATTCAATCCCAACAAATCATCTGCTACGGGTACGTCATCACACCTTTGTCTATGAAACTTTTTCATTCTCTTATCTGTGTTACTAAGATTTTTGTACAAAATATCTCTTACAATATATCTTATTTTAACGTCATTTTGCTTAAATCAACCTTGTAATTACGTCATTTTAGAGTTATTAAATAACATTCTTTACGTGAACCAACAAACTCAGCATGTTGTTTCTTCAACCAATTCATTGGTTTAGCTTTAAAATATCTAAAATCGATCAAGAATAATACTACTTATTCTGGATATCCATTGTTACGTTTTTATTTTGTAAGTAGACGCCCCACCGAAGATACTTGTTTTTTATTTGACGCTTCAAGATACTCTGTTTCAAAACTGCAAAGAATCAAGCCTCACAACTCATATTCTCTGTGACTTTTGAGCAGATGATGAGTTAATTGGGACATTTCTAGGATTTTGGCCACCTACAACTTTTCAACTACTAGTCTAAGTGTTAACATTATTATCTTGGTAGCAATCTCTGGTAAGGTACTCAGCCAGCTGGTGTCAGAGTTAACATTGTATGTTGGCAGGAGTGTCTGATAAGGCACTCAGCCAGCTGGTGTCAGAGTTAACATTGTTATGTTGGTAGCAGTGTCTGGTTAAGGCACTCAGCCAGCTGGTGTCAGATTTAACATTGTTATGTTGGTAGCAGTGTCTTATAAGGCACTCAGCCAGCTGGTGTTAGATTTAACATTGTTATGTTGGTAGTAGTGTCTGATAAGGCACTCAGCCAGCTGGTGTCAGAGTTAACATTGTTATGTTGGTAGCAGTGTCTAATAAGGCACTCAGCCAGCTGGTGTCAGAGTTAACATTGTTATGTTGGTAGCAGTGTCTTATAAGGCACTCAGCCAGCTGGTGTCAGAGTTAACATTGTTATGTTGGTAGCAGTGTCTAATAAGGCACTCAGCCAGCTGGTGTCAGATTTAACATTGTTATGTTGGTAGCAGTGTCTTATAAGGCACTCAGCCAGCTGGTGTCAGAGTTAACATTGTTATGTTGGTAGCAGTGTCTGATAAGGCACTCAGCCAGCTGGTGTCACAGTTAACATTGTTATGTTGGTAGCAGTGTCTGATAAGGCACTCAGCCAGCTGGTGTCAGAGTTAACATTGTTATGTTGGTAGCAGTGTCTGATAAGGCACTCAGTCAGCTGGTGCCACAGTTAACATTGTTATGTTGGTAGCAGTGTCTGATAAGGCACTCAGTCAGCTGGTGTCAGAGTTAACATTGTTATGTTGGTAGCAGTGTCTGATAAGGCACTCAGCCAGCTGGTGTCAGAGTTAACATTGTTATGTTGGTAGCAGTGTCTGATAAGGCACTCAGCCAGCTGGTGTCACAGTTAACATTGTTATGTTGGTAGCAGTGTCTTATAAGGCACTCAGCTGGTGTCACAGTTAACATTGTTATGTTGGTAGCAGTGTATACTAAGGAACTCAGCCAGCTTGTGTCAGAAGAGTGCCTAGACTGCCTATGTCAGTTGCTGACCAAGTGTGACCTCTACAGAGGGTGTGAAAACGGAGATTGTGGACCGTTCGGAGTGACTATGCCTTTCTGGGAGGACGCTGTGGGGATACAGGACCAGGACGGAACCAAGAGAAAAGGTAAGTTTTAAGAATATTTAATCAAACGTGTACGGTACAATAATATATTTAAATATTAGGCCAACTATTCATAAATAAACCTCCAACAATCTCGACGTTTCTGGGTATGTATAACATTTTGATAACAACAGACAATAATTACAAGTTAACATATTATATCTAGGAAAAAAAATATTCACATATTCATTGACTATCCTTTTTTTGGTATATTGACTAGTAAATCAAATAAAAATGCATCCTTTATTCTGTTGATTTTTTTGCCATTTGGAAACGATAAGCATCTAGAGTTGCGACTCTATTGCAAGTCTACCTTCTTCATTCGTTTCAGCATTAAGTTCAAACTATGATGTATATTGTTTTATCTCATAAAATCAGAATAAATGAAAATTCCTAACAATCACTCTATGGCAATACTCAAGCCCAATATGAACTTAACAGCCAGATATGGGAGTGTCATGAAGGTGGTGTTGGGATTGTGGATGTAAATATACTGTATCATAAACATCAATCTCCTTTAAGTTGCTATGCAATTCAATTGTTTAACAATGGTTCAAGTATTAAAGTTAACATGTATATAGTAGACCAACTTTTTAATTTACTTGTCTACTAGGACGCTAGATTGGATTAGCAGTTACTTGCCTAATTTATAGTCAGTTTAATAGTCAGCCTAATTTATTTATTTCACAGATCCAAAACTGATATCTGAATATGAGAAGTGTGCTACAGATCTGATATGTACTACTAAGGCGATCCAAAATTACATGGAGTTGTACAAAAGAGTAAGTCAAGTGTCAAATCCAAGTTGGAATAGTCAGCACATAATATATAGAAATACAGAATCGACCTCATATCTTTATCTATACCTATAAAATGCAAATCCCTCACAGACTGACTCACTCAACGCTAATCCTCCTACGGTACTTTCCATTTACCTAGAAGAATGAAATTTGGTACACTGATTCTTTAGGCATTAAATAACAGAACTAAGTAGATTTTTAATCTGATCTGACTTTTGGGCTCCACTCCAAAGGCTCTGGAGTTCCCCATGTTAACCTTATGATTATTCATACTAGTTAACCGTCCGTGCTCCGCCACGGGAATATTCACATTAATAAAAGACATAATAATTAACAAATACTGTTTATCTTTGTATTTTATTTAGTCTTTTTACTTGAAATAGAAGTGATAGTTGGCCTGTATAAACTATTTATGTTAATCAAACCGATATATCAGTTTAACAAAACGTTTTATATTGATTAGAGTTTCATTTGAAAGATAAGTAGTGTTTGTTTTTTGGTTTATTAAATTCGTTGTTAACGCCAAGACCGCGTATTTCACCATATAATTCAATACCACATTTTCCAGGACTGTAACAGAGATGGGGTGATTGATTGTCTCGACTTTGCGGCTATTCACACCCAAGGCCCGACAGGCTGCTTGAACGAGCCATTTCCTGAGAAAAAGAAGAACTTTATGGAAAACTGTTTAGAGGAAAACATGTCAGGGATATATTCTGCCAAGATGCGAGAACTTGCCGAACTGGAGACTGTACAACAACTACAAGGAGATATGTCTCAATGTCAATACCCGTAACATTTGTACAAACAAAAACTATTTATATGCCTATATATTTTTAATACGATTTATATACAGAGTGTTCAAAAAAAGGTGGGGACATATTTTACCTAGTGATTTCTTGGGTAAAAATAAAGAGAAAATCACGTATAACATTTTTCCAAAATCGCTTCGTTTACCAGATATTCACCATTTTGTATTTTTTACATAAACATTATTATCTTTTGACTCTTTCAACCGTTCTTTATAAAACTTGGTTTGTATGTTAAAGTAGAAGATACCCATGTTAATCAACTTTATGAAAAAAACGTCTAGAACACTTTTATTTGGCATTTTTAATTCCCTATCGAACAATACCAAGTTCATAAATATCGAATAAGAAATAGCCGAAATATTATGATTTTTAGTTGTAAAATGGGACAAACCAGACTAGCTTCTGCCTTATTCTACCCCATTTTACAACAAAAATCGTTATATTTCAGCTATTTCTTATTTTCTAGACGATTTTTCATAAAATAACCGTTTTTGAGTAACTTTGAAAAATTTAAATGGCCGTCATTTTGAAATTTTAAGTTAAATTAAGATGATTTTTTTTCTAACATGGGTCTCTTTTATCTTAACATACATACAAAGTTTTATAAAGATCAGTTGAAAAGTCCAAAGATAAAAAGTTTACTTAAAATATACAAAATGGCGGATATCTGGTTAACGAAGCGATTTTGGAAAAATTGTTATACTTGATTTTCTCTTTTATATTGGCCTTTTTGAACACCCTGTATATATATACTTAAAAAATGTGGAAAACATTGTATATTTTTAATGTAGGCCTCATATTGGTTTCTGCTTCTATTGTATTTACTTCTATGTTTTAAAAGCTAAACAATGCTATAAAAATAATTCCACGTTTTTATATGAAGGTTATACAATTTCATTACACACAAAATACCTTTTCCTACAGTTACCTAACAATGTACATGTTCTCTCACTGATTTGAGAAAGCAAAGTGGCGAATTCGCTCATCAGTGAGACAATGTTAACATTGTCTCACTCTAATTACTTTGTCTCACTCCAGATTTGCAACGTGAATGCACGAAATAGTGAGCGCGTAACATGCAGGCAACGTCGTATGCACACGAAATACGTTGGCAGCACTGGCTGTAAATCAGCTGGTCAGCTGTTGTACTGTTGTATTTGTCACTTCACGTTAAATGTTATATTAAAAGTTCACTTCTGTGTAAAAATAGGTTATGTTTATTCACCAATTTATTTGTTTTATGGTAACTGTAGGAAAAATTATAATGTGCAACTCGAGTTCAAAGTACAATTGCCTCACTCGAGAAACCATTCCTCACTCGCCTACGGCTCGTGAGTAAGGATTTCTCTCGAGTGAGTCAATTGCTCACTTTTCTCACTAGTTGCACATATAACTATTGGGATGTGAGAATGCATTTTTGAGTTTTACAACTTTTTAAAGTCTTTTATCAAAACTATCAGATAATCTTCTTAACCAACCTATTATATGAATATCCAATAACATATTCAGTTATATTTAATTTAATAAGTGTATTTTCATTTTTCGTTATTCATAATCAAAATAACATTTTTAATAATCGTATTTGTACATTCGTTTTACCATTAAATCAAAATATGAAATACTTGAAAATCACTTGTCGTAACCAAAACTCCACGCTACGTTGTTTAAAATACTTGAAAACCACCCGCAAACCAAGAATGTTTATAATTGGCGTATTCAAATGTGAATTTTTAACGATCATTCCGGTTGGATATGTTACTACTAACATTTCCGAGAATTTTAATTTCAGTTGAGTGTTAACACCGATGGATGTTAAAGTGTTTCGAGGACTGAGACTAAACAAAATATTCCCACATACATTTATAATTGTTTGATTAAAAAACATTCGGTTAACGTTTTATGTTAAGACTAAGTATTTAGTATTAGAAAATAATTCTACATTTATCTATTAATTAAAAAATTATTTAATTTTTTTTGTAAGGGGCAGCATTTAATCTAATATACATCTAAATATACATTTTACTTATTATTCTAGAGGTTAAATACCTTATTGTTGCCACTGTAATCCCCTGTCGTCTGGATGGTGACCGGTTTCAACACTCATGGTGTCATTGTCAAGACGTGTTTTCACTCCTAGGAGGTCGTCATAAAGTCTTGAAAATAAATACACGAGACACGAACAAACATATTTACAAATAAATAATACAGTATGGCCATACAAGAACACTAATTCACACGGCGCGGCTGCGGGTTCAGGGAGTAGGTCTACTACACTAAATACATTTTAAACGAGAAACTGTATTAATCTCACTTATAAGACAAGGCAATTATTATAGACAACGAAGGTGATTTAAAATCTTAATTGAGACTACAGTAAGGTAAACATACTGTTGTCAAGACTTCAAACGTTTTATATTTCAGTATAAATTTAGTTTTAGATTGGGCAGCAAAACACCTCTAAATCCATTTTAGAATTGATTATGAATGTTTACATAATATGAAGAGGAGCTAAATGGAAACACAGAAGAATATTAACATTTTTTCAAAACTCAACTTCAGTAAACTTTTCTTTTGTTTCAAAGCCCAGGAAATGTTGAATTCTGTAACCAAACCAAGCACGCTTTATACTTTTAGTAGGTCAAACAAAAGTAATTTCTGTGTGCTTGGAATATTGTGAAATGTGTTGGATTCCAGCCACAACTATAACATACATGACGTTTAGAAGTTTAGTATTTTCGTTAATATATCAATTCTTTTGCGTGTTTTTTTCTGTTTTAAACAGTTTCTATTCATAACAGTTTCCAAATTAACAAATAAACACGCATTTTAGTAAAGCTGATTATTGTATATAGTAATTCGATAGTATTACATAAGTACTAAACGGGCTATCATCGTCTGTTCCCGTATTATTTATACATTCTTCAAGCAGTTCTTAAACACAATGATTTTTTTATTCACGTGAAAGTATACCTGCACAATAATGAAAAAAGTGTTGTAGGTTGTATGTTGTATTAATAGTCAAAGGTTAGAAATATTTATAACTGAGTACTCCAAAACCAAAGTATTGATTAAGAGATCTGTATTTCACTAAGGTCATTCTGGCGGTAAGTTGGCACGTTTCCCCAGGTAATACTGTAGTCGCTTGTGTTTAAGAAATATGATAAACCATTGGGCATATGGAGACTCCTGTATACTTTTATGCAAGCTGTGGAACTTGGACAAGTGTATTATACTGCATAATAAGGTGAGGTAAGTTGTATAAGTTAAGTATTTATTTTGTGGCATATATGAAGTTCTATTGAAACTTAAGAGATGTAAATCAAACGATGGATTACTCAATTGACACAGAAGAATAGTTATTTGTGCAACTAGTGAGCAAAGTTTTCTCGAGTGAGGCAATTGCACTTTGCACTCGAGTTGTACATTATATTTTTCCTACAGTTACCATAAAACAAATAAATTGGTAAAGAAACGTAACATATATTTACACAGAAGTGAACTTTTATTGTGACATTTAATGATACAATAGTACAACAGCTGACCAGCTGATTTACAGCCAGTGCTGCCAACGTATATCGCGCGCATACGACCTTGTCTGTATGTTACGCGCTCACTATTTCGTGCATTCACGTTGCAAATCTGGAGTGAGACAAAGTAATTAGAGTGAGACAATGTTAACATTGTCTCACTGATTAGCAAATTGACCACTTTGCTTTCTCAAATCAGTGAGAGAACATGTACATTGTTAGGTAACTGTAGGAAAAATAATTATAATTCAATTTTTAGACCTTATTTAACTCAGAGTTTCTTTAAATATACTACGTGATGCGAAGTAAAATATATCAACTGATAAAACCAGCCCCTATGCAGGAAAAGTATTCACCTCGACGTAAGCTATGCACCATTCGTAGAAAATTAAAAGGAAACAAGTGTATAGCATGAGATAGCATCTAAAGTGGATTAGAATATCAGCGTCCAAGTTACCTCCGTCAAATTTAACAATGTATTAAAACAGGTAAAGCAATTCACGCAATCATCGGTCATTTTGTCATGAAGAAATATATAGTTCTTTAACTTAAGTAACTTAACTATTCCAATTAATGTAATTCGTATTCTTTTTAGTTAGAGTGGGAGGTTAACAGAGTTTACACTTCCATACTGGCTGTACTGAAACCCGTGGATAGGTTAGCTGACAGTGCTGAGCGAAGATGCCGCCTCCCGATCGCCGCGTCTCCCGAGTGCCGAGCCTCCCGAGTGCCGAGTCTCCCGAGTGCCGAGCCTCCCGAGTGCCGAGTCTCCCGAGCGCTGAGCCTCCCGAGCGCCGAGCCTCCCGAGCGCCGAGCCTCCCGAGCGCCGAGCCTCCCGAGCGCCGAGCCTCCCGAGTGCCGAGCCTCCCGAGTGCCGAGCCTCCCGAGTGCCGAGCCTCCCGAGTGCCGAGCCTCCCGAGTGCCGAGCCTCCCGAGTGCCGCGTCTCCCGAGTGCCGAGCCTCCCGAGTGCCGAGTCTCCCGAGTGCCGAGCCTCCCGAGTGCCGAGCCTCCCGAGTGCCGAGCCTCCCGAGTGCCGAGCCTCCCGAGTGCCGAGTCTCCCGAGCGCTGAGCCTCCCGAGCGCCGAGCCTCCCGAGCGCCGAGCCTCCCGAGCGCCGAGCCTCCCGAGTGCCGAGCCTCCCGAGTGCCGAGCCTCCCGAGTGCCGAGCCTCCCGAGTGCCGAGCCTCCCGAGTGCCGAGCCTCCCGAGTGCCGAGCCTCCCGAGTGCCGAGCCTCCCGAGTGCCGAGCCTCCCGAGTGCCGAGCCTCCCGAGTGCCGCGTCTCCCGAGTGCCGAGCCTCCCGAGTGCCGAGCCTCCCGAGCGCCGAGTCTCCCGAGTGCCGAGCCTCCCGAGTGCCGAGTCTCCCGAGTGCCGAGCCTTCCGAGTGCCGAGTCTCCCGAGTGCCGAGCCTCCCGATTGCCGAGCCTCCCGAGCGCCGCGTCTCCCGAGTGCCGAGCCTCCCGAGTGCCGAGTCTCCCGAGTGCCGAGCCTCCCGAGTGCCGAGTCTCCCGAGTGCCGAGTCTCCCGAGCGCCGCGTCTCCCGAGTGCCGAGCCTCCCGAGTGCCGAGTCTCCCGAGTGCCGAGCCTCCCGAGTGCCGAGTCTCCCGAGTGCCGAGTCTCCCGAGCGCCGCGTCTCCCAGCGCCGAGCAGACCATCTGGCATAATCTGACAGTTTTGACAGCCGAATTGGAATTCACAAAAGCAACAATGTGCCGTATGGGGTGTTCAATTGAGCATTGTAGACGATCAGCAGTGGAATGACGTTTTATTGCAGAAATGATAGTCTCGAATTCTGAATTAACATTTAATGAATATTTTGTCATTCATTACCGACTCTCGTACCTTTGAGATGCTCGCACCTAATCTTGAATGATTAACCTAACCTAACCTAGCCTAACCTTTCCTGCTTCACAGACTCATTGATACTATTTTAAAAGAGAAGGTATTATTAACCCTCGTCACTTCTGCATCACTCGTTTTAAACGATTTATGTTGATATTCTGCTTGTGTGAACCATGTAACCAGTGTAGGAATATTCGAGGATGTTCATAGTTTATCTGGTCCTTCAAACGAGCCAGGAGATAAATGGGTGGAGATAATTAAAGAACTGGACTAAATATCATAACGCTCGAAAAGGCTTTATCAGAAAACTCTAAGGGGAGGATAAATTTTGTACCCAAAACGTAGGCAAAAGGCAGTGACAATATCGTTGTATTTAGACTGTCCAAATGATAACGACACCGAAAAGGTTTGCATCAATGATAGCTCAGATTTATTTTAATAAACGATTAATTTATCGCAACAAAATGAACCGGGGGAAAACCAAAAATCACAAGTTATAAAAACTAGCTACTTTTGATACTTTAAGATCACTTCATATTTGTCGAGCTGGCACTAGCCCAGCTGCTAGGAATGGTGACATTTCCGAGCATTTGAACAGCGGGAAACTGGTTAACATATTAAACTGGCTGATATTAGTCTCGGCCTCCGGAATAAGCCCCGAATTAAGCCTTGTTCGGATCTAATTTGCATTTTAGTCCACTTATGTAAAGGGATGATGGTTTTGTTGAAATTGGGGTTCAATGCAAGATGAAATGTCATACATCCAAATGTTTGTAATAAAAGGAAAAAACAATATCTTATTTCACATCATATTTTAAGTAGGCAGTGACTTTTTTGCACTCCTTTATAAAATACCAAGTAACCATAAGCACATTAATTATTTTTTTAATATGAGACGTGAATAAATAAAGAATAAAACCGTATAGTTTACATCTAAATATATGATTGTTACTTATTTTTGGGAGAGTATATTCTTATTTCAAATTAACAGATTTTAGAACACAATGATCAACGGCGTACAATCTAGTTATTTATGATATACTTTAGTTTGATTTAAGCATTGGCGTAGCAACACAATTACTAAAAAAATACCCAATTGTAAAAAAGTCGATATGAAGTGCAAGTAATTTTAAATTAATCCAACACATCATAATCACATCGAATTAAAAAAAAACGCCAAAGAGAAATTTGTTTGATATTCTATTCTAGTAGAAAAACTTTGATAATTAGTCGAAAACAAGTTTATAAGAAAAGTATGGTGAATATGTGTATCCAGATATATTTTCTGATTTCACCCATCAAATGGGGCAGAAGAAGTCTTCTGGTATGAAAGCACAGTAGCTATCACTGAAAGCAAAATCTAATTACAAGTTTTGACTGAGACTTTGAAACAACATGCAAATTAGGCCTTTCATACACAAATCTCTTTCACAGTTCACCATCAAACAAACTTCAACCGGAAAATGTAACAGAATATCATTATAGTAATTAACGATCAGTAGATAAAATGTATTGCCTTGGAGGTAAATAACACCACACATCTAAATTTAGTTAACATTAGAAATGCATGAAGAATTTCTATATTTATCTCTTGTCCTTTGTCAGATCTTTATAAAAATATTCTTTTGAAATGTTTGTTGACTCAATAAAAGGTAAAACAGAAGATTTGCAAATATTTTTACATTGTTATCCATAGAGTGAATAAAACATGAACACGTTACATTCGCTTTCTGGTAAATATTTAATGAAGTTATGTGAAAACATTTTCCACTTCTAACTTGGAATACTTGTACATCACTGGATTAAATGCGTTTATATTTTCATCATTTAAAATACCGTACGTTATGTGTTTTGAAAATATTTCAACTGAGACTACTTTACAATAAAATGTATACAGTATTCCTGTTACCTATTTAGAATGTTTGTTACAGTAGAATCTATTTAGTTCTTCTCATTTATTTTTGTTCATATTTTATGAATTATAAGGAAGAATGTAGTCAAATTTATTTTCACAGCGTAGAGATGAAATACAATATGTATTATCGATTGTGTATATATATTTCGTTTGCAATTACTAATATTGCACAGCAATTTGATGCAATTAAAAATCATAGCTTAGTATAATGCCTTGTCATCGTGTATAATATAACAATACAGTATAATATAATAACAATATAATAATAATATAATAATATAATATAATATAATAATATAATATAATATAATATAATAATAATATAATAATAATAATAATAATAATAATAATAATAATATAATATAATAATATAATATACAATATAATAATATAATATAATAGCGTATAATATATAACAATACAGGAGAGTGCAGTGTAAAACATCGAAAGTGTTTTTTACTCTAATACTACGAGAAATGTAAACAATTATTAAGTCAAATTATTTGCATGTGTAACGATAACAAAGAAAACCAAAAACTAAAATTCAACTGTTGTAGTAATGTTTACATTTCTTCATTGTTAGTGAATTTTCCACATAGGGAATAAGGTATTACCGTATGTCTCGTAGTGATAGTTGGGTCCGGGACAAATTTACTTTTTCGATTTGAGGTTCCCAATGGCCAAAACACCATTCGTTCAAATTCAGCAACAATTATACGATTTTTAAAATTTTTTACAAACGTGTAAACCTTTATTCGAACGGGTTCACGAACCAACATGATCGGACTATGGGGACGGTAGTTTATGCGGGTTTTATGGGACAAAACTTGTTTTCCTCCATTTTGAACCTAAAACATAGAGTATTGAAATTTATTTCCAAAACATTTAGTACAGCTTACAAATAATTTAGTACGATTTTTTATGCCTGACGTTTCAGGAGAAAATCAAACAAAAGTGTAAATTGAAATACCCATGATTTTCTTATTGAGAGAAAAAAATGAGGCCTACTGCAGTTTGCTTGTTTATGTATATTTTTAATTTAATTTAGGAATTTTTTTCATACTAATCTATAAAATTTTCAAATAAAAACACACTTTATTTTATCCCTGTACAAGCAAACCTAAGTAATCATTTAAATATTGTTATTTAAACTGGAAATAAATTTAACAATTTTAATGGTATATTTTAGTGGATATCCAGCCAAGTAAATGAAAATTCGCTTAGTCTGCAGGTTTGTTGCCGTGGGGGTAATTATAACTGTTACATTGTTAAATATAACCCTCTATAAGTGATCAACAATGAAAAACAGTCTGTGCCTTCAACTAATGACATACTACACTTATTACGTTACTGCATAAGGTGTAGCTATTCGGTGTGAAGGTGCTATAAAAAAGATAACATATTAATAACTATCACTAGAGGACCCATGCTGCTCTGCAGCGTAAAAATAAATATCATATCCCAGAAATAATAAATTTATGGTTTTCGATTGAGTAATACAGTATCTTGAACTTAACCGATTAGATTCAAACGACCAATATCTCAAATTAAAGCCTATAATTTACCGGTACTTATTATTTAAAGTCTAAAACATAAAAACAGCATAAACAACACTGGAGCTAATGAGTTTTAATCATAGCAAACCCTTATAAAAATAATGTTGATGTTGTTGTTCACCTTGCGCTTGCTTGAAACTCGTCCGATTTGAAAAACTAATAGCTCAAATCAAATCAAATCAAATCAAAAATTCTTTATTCATATTGTATGTACATACATGAATAGTGTCAGACTATAACTAATTTGTATGCATTTTGATTTCGATTTACAGAAAAGTAAGAACCGCATACAGTTTCATTTTTTTATTTTTTTCCATCAGAGCACCTCAACCTTATTTATTTAGTCGTTTTTACATTGAAAAAACTCTTCAAATGAATAATAACTCGTTTGCAACAGATGATTCTTAACTAGTTTTTTGAAATTATTTTGGTTTATTTTACTTTTTAATTTTGTAGGAAGATGGTTTAAAAATTTTGATCCCATAAAGGTTCCCTTTTTTTCAAAGAAGCTGAGGTTATGTTTTGATAAATTTATATCATTCTTATTTCTAGTGTCATATGAATGGACATTTTTTCTAATTTCCAAATTGTGTAGTTGATTTTTGACACACATAATACATTCTACTATATACTGATCATAGACAGTCAAAATATGTAGTTTTGAAAATTTATCCTTCACAGTTATTCGTTTGTCCAAGTATAACATGATTCTTATAGCTTTTTTTTGGAGTTTCAGAACTGTATCTAAATTTTGTTTAGACGTTCCTCCATAGATTGCCAGACCATAAGACAGATGGGAATGTATATGCGCAAAATATATTGATTTTAGGGTGTCCAGGCTACATAATAGTGACATACGCCTCAAAACATATAACCCTGAAGAAATTTTTTGTGTTATGAATTGTGTATGATAATCCCATTTAAAATATGTGTCTACGTAAAGCCCTAAAAATTTAGTATGCTTTAGATTTTCTATTTTTTCGTTTCCAACCAGGATGTTTGGTTCTATTGTTTCTTTTCTTTGTGAGGCTGAAAAAACGATTTGGTTGGTTTTTTGACAGTTTAAAAAAAGTTTATTTTTAAGAAAATATGATTGAACTTTACTCAAATTTTCATTACAGGCCAGTTCAAGATTTTGGTAATTTTTAGCTGAAATAATTAGGTTTGAATCGTCTGCGTACAATAGTAACTGGCTTTTGGCTTCTATGTTTGATTTTAAAATTGAGGGCATTCCACGGACATAGCAGAGAAATAATAATGGTCCTAAAATAGATCCCTGAGGAACTCCATGTTTAATTTTTAATGTTTGTGATTTATTTTTTACGACTTGGTTTCCTTTTTTTGAAACTATTTCAA